GCTTGCATCCTTGCATGATTCCTTTCTTTTCTGTAACAAATTAATACAATACAATCAATTTATAAAAATATTATTTTTACTTGCCACAAAACCATTTGTTTGGACTTGATACATATGTACAAGATTAATGGTGCAATTCAGTTTCCAGGCTGTTTTAAAGTAATATAAAACATAAGATATGGATTTTAAGCTTATTTAACACAATTGATTTTATTTTTTAACAAGGTTTAATATTTCATAACACACTTAGCCTTCTTTTTTAGCTAATTAATTTCCTTCATAAGTCATTTAACACATCATGTTTCAACTGTGGATTTTTTTTCAAACGTTTTGGCTTTAAAATTTTTTTAATGCAGACCAGTCTCAACAGTGGCCAGCATGAACCACATACTGTTACTCTGCAAACTTTTGCTGAAACTTGACAAAACACACATTAACAAGCAAATCAAGATCATTAGGATTAACGTTACCAAAAAGAGACTGTTCGTTCAGTGTTTGAACTAAAACCAGTACAAAAGCAGAACTCGGCACCTATTACAACTGTATAAAACGGACAGCATATGATTCATTCATTCAAGCTCCCGTTTCGACGCTGTTCTTCATATAACACGTCTTATTAATCATTTAATTGGGAATGACGAGCGTAAAAGGACAATTGTAACTTAAATGAATTTGTTAAAACCCCGAGCACAATCAACTTAACAGATTACTGAACTGACGGCGGCCATCATTCTTAGCCGTTTTTAGCCATATTATCCACATATAAGTTACAGTTTTATCACTATTCAAAACAGGGGCTTTTCTAACTAATAAAAACATTGCCTGACGACAAATATCTCACAAATATGATTTTAAAATAATAACTTACCCGATAAAAAGAAGAAGATGAAATGGCGGACTTGACTTCACTTCCTCGTTTGAAAAAATTAACCGTCATTCACGAGGCTCCGCCCACTCCACCGTAATGCAAGGATGAAGCGAAACACATATTCGCCACCAGGGGGCAGTTTATGATTATGTTTTTAAATAAGTAAATAAATAAATGAATAAATATATATATATATATATATATATATATATATATATATATATATATATATATATATATATATATACAGTGGCGTAGCGGACGGGCCCGCAGGGCACGCACCGCGGGGGGGCCCCGCGTGATTACGGGGCCCCGCGTCGTCGTGATTTTCAATAAACTGTTGGGAACAACTGTGGTCGGAACCAAAGTTCACACGTCTGTGTTCTCTGAACACCTCTCAAGCGGTGGACTACTTCATTCTGATTGCTTGCAGCCAATGTTGCCAACTTAGCGACTTTGTCACTATATTTAGCGACTTTTCAGACACCCCTAGCGACAAATCTAGCGACTTTTTGTGTGTTATTGGAGATTTTTTAGACTGTCATTTGTCCATACTGTACCGTCCCTACTCTTCTCAACGAGCTGCGTGTGATGCCGCCGGCCCCTCCCCCGCCTCACAGCACTGACAGGCAGCCCAGTCAGTCCTCGTACAGCAGCCTCTCCCACCTGCAGCCCGAGAGCAGATCACCCCTCTGCGTACCGACGACAAATGATTTAGCAGGCAGTGTGAAGGTATTTCCCTTGTACAGTCAAACCGATCTACTTCTACTTTATTTTAACAATTTATTTGGACCGTTTATTCTTTTCTTGTTCACAATCACAGATATTTTAGTGACAGTTTCTGAACTTGTCTGAGTTTATTTTATATGAGAGATTACTGCACATTCACTAACGTTACACATTTATAATGATATATTGTATTCAAACAGCAAAAAAATTGTAGTTAAATAAACATGCTTATATAAAGTGTAGTGCAATTATAAATACCCCTTTATTAACCATAGGCTGTTAAACAGAAACGGTAGAACGTGATGACGTCAGTGATATGCAAATTGACGTATGACGTACCCCCCCCCCCCCCCCCCCCTTCATCAGGGGCCCCCGTCAGCGATCCCTGCAGGGGGGCCTCCGCATTTTGCGCTACGCCACTGTATATATATATATTAGGGTAAGGGTAATTAGGCAAGTTATTTTATAACAATGATTTGTTCTGAAACTGTCGAAAAAATATATAGCTTAAAGGGGTTAATAATTTTGACCTTAAAACACTTTTAAAAAAAATTAAAAACTGCTTTTATTCTAGTCGAAGACTTTCTCCAGAAGAAAAAATATTATCAGACATACTGTGAACATGTCCTTGCTCTGTTATGTAATATGTTATTTTTAATATTCAGTAGCTTGTTATATAAAAACTATAACACTTTAAGATATATTTACAATCAACTAATTGCTAATTAACATGCTTATTGATAGCATATTGTCTATAAAATTTGTTGACGCTGTTACAGGTGCACACACTCAGAACCAGGATAGACTTTTGGGCCTTTCTATGTTGAGTTTGCATGTTGTTTCTGTTGGTTTCCAGTTTCTTCCATAGTGCAAAAATTTGCAGTATAAGTGAATTTTGGATAAACTAAATTTGCTGTAGTTTGTGATTAAGATAATGTGTGGTGTTTCCCTGCACTGAGGATTGTACCCTCAGGGCTGTGTTGCAGAAGCATTAGTATCTGATTGCAGACTTGCATATGCAAGCTGAGACACACAGTTTGACATGCAATGTCAGAAACAATGCACTCAAATAGAGCTAGTGACATCAAAGTGAGGGGTCGGGTTAGGAGCGGGGTTAGGTGTGCGCATTAAAATTGGTCAGATTTATTTTTATTATTTTTTGTGTTCTGTAGAATAAGTAAATAAAACTTTGTTTTGTTTACAAAGATCAGTTTATTTACGAACACATTCATGTTATTCACATTCTACTGCTCAGTTCTCTGACATTTTTTTCTATATAGTTATTTTATTCATAAACAAAACATTTATGTCTATTTAATATTCAAATTAAATAAAAAAGAACAATGTTGTATGTGGCATTTAATCAAACAAAATCATTATAAAAATGTAGAATTGCAAAAAATAACACCAAGAAAACAGCACTTTAATTCAGTATTATTAGATTATGAATTCATTTGTAAAATTGTTCGTTAAAAAGTAGTACTAATAGCAAATTAAATCCACCCAGTAGGTGGCGGTAGAACACTGTCTTAATTCATTCAAATGGAACTGAACAAAACATTAATGGATCAAAACATAATAAATGATAAAACTCATTGCATTTATAGACATTTATAGATATACCAGGTAATATGAAAAAAAAAATTTTTACTCATGCTGGAACATTTACATATAACAGATAATATAAATTTATATTCATAGCAGCCTTAAAGTAAAAATAAATCCATTATTGAGGAAATAAACTGAATTAATATGTGATAAGGTTACAAACATATACTTTCCCGGATAAGCAATAGCTTATTCCTATTCTTAATAACCTAAAGAATCATTTTCAATCTCAGAAAGTCTTATTTAGAACATGCAATGTTATTATTTTCAGAGAAGGTGTAGCGCTCTCACTGCCTGATGAGGGACAATAATGTTTATAAAACACAGGAAACACAGAACTGCTGTTGCTTCACATCAGAGTCTGTGTTTTGTTTGAGCAGCAAGCCCCTCCCACTCATTAGGTATGCAGTCCACAGGCAGAAGTAGCCAATCGGAAAAATGTAAATCCTTGCATCACATTACATTAATTTACAATATTTATTTTCTATTTTCTACTTCATAAAATGAAAGTGTACAGACTTAGAAAGACAAATTAACTTTGATTTTCAATTTCTAATAATTTGTAACCACTTCAAAGGCTCCCGTTAATTTAAAGTTAAACCGGAACTAAAAATACACAACATGCACTACACCCGATGTGTCACACACAGGCCACATCTGGCCCACATACAGCAGGCCACAACTCACACTACACCCGGTGTGACACATACGGGCCATATCTGGCCCACATACGGCAGGCCACAACTCACACTACACCCGGGGTGTCACACACGGGCCACATCTGGCCCACATACAGCAGGCCACAACTCACACTACACCCGGTGTGACACATACGGGCCACATCTGGCCCATATGTCTCCTGCCATTGCCAGAAGTGAGCCATATGTGCCTTAGTTGGCCCAGATGTGGCCCAGAACTGTATGCTATCTGGGTGGTAGTTTTGTCTTGCTTGTCCACCAAACATAGACCAGCATCACCAGCAATACTAAGCTGGTAGACAAGCATGACCAGCAAGCCGAAGCTGGTCTACCAGCATAACCAGCAAGACCAAGCTGGTAGACCAGCATGACCAGCAAGACCAAGCTGGTAGACTAGCCTGACCAGCAAGCCGAAGCTGGTCTACCAGCAAGACCAAGCTTATCTACCAGCTTCACCAGCAAGACCAAGCTGGTCTACCAGCATCACCAGCAAGACCAAGCTGGTCTACCAGCATCACCAGCAAGACCAATCTGGTCCACCAGCATCACCAGCAAGACCAAGCTGGTCTACCAGCAAGACCAAGCTGGTCAACCAGCAAAACCAAGCTGGTCTACCAGCATCACCAGCAAGACCAAGCTGGTAAACCAGCTAAACCAGCATTGACCAGCATAGACCAGCATGAAAATCATGCTGGTCTTTGCTGGTTTTTTCAGCAGGGTGCTGATAATAATAACATTATACAAAAGCAAATTGTTATGAATGAACTGAAAAAGCCTCCCGAGATGAAAAAGACATAAAAGCCACACTGCGCCGGGTGTATGATAGGGCCCTTAGTCTTAGTGGATTAAACAAGTTTTTTTTTAAATTGTCTTAAAATGTTTAGAGTAAAGGTTTTGATCAACTCCAAATACTGAATATATATATATATATATATATATATATATATATATATATATATATATATATATATATATATATATATATATATGTGTGTGTGTGTGTGTGTGTGTGTGTGTGTGTGAGAGAGAGAGAGTAAGTGGAAAACGAGGGAGAAAAGACTTTTATTTTGGTGTGGTGTGACGTCATAAGTCTGCGCCGCTCTTGCGCTGGATTCAGCTGGAAAAGGTTTGTTTTAAAGCATTAACACTTATATTAAGCGATTGATTAAAGTTTCAGGCTTTTTTTTCACCCGATGCTAAATTGTGCTGTTAATGCATAATGCTGCTGTTGACAACATTATTTTAACACTTTATACTGTGTAGTATTATTTTACTCACAGTAATGAGGGTTATTTGAATAATAGAGGTAAAGTTGGTTTTATATTCACACATTCGTTCATTTAGAAGTCTCTATATTATTTATTTACTTTGAATATTTGATCGGAATTAGCATGGCAAGTGTGAATTGAAAACAACATTAATACTGTTTATTTGACTGTGAACAATGTTGTACTTTGATAGTCATTGAATTCTAATATGATTTAGCTATTTATGGTTTGCAAATAATACTTTTATGAAATTATATTATTAAGGAGAAAATCTGAATGTGCGAATATAAAACCAATTTTACCTCTATCTATAAGAAACAGTGTGTAATAGGTGTTTTAATGAAGGTTTAATTAATTAAATAGCATAATGTCATTCCATTCTAAATATACATCACTATGTATGAGAAACGGAGTACTAGTTTTAATCAGCTCATTCTTTCTAGCTCAGACTATAGAGGTAAAGTTGGTTTTATATTTACACATTCGTTCATTTATAAGTCTCTATATTGTTCACCATGTTACTTTGAATATTAGATTTCAATTAGCATGCAAGTATGACTTATAAACAACATTGTTTAATTGACTGTGAACAATGTTGTACTTTGATAGTCATTGGCTGCTAATATGATTTCACTATTTAGAGTTTGCAAATAACACTTTTATGAAATGTTATTATTAAAGGAAAAGTCTGAATGTGCAAATATAAAAACAACTTTACCTCTATGCTCGGACGTACCTGATTTTTTTTTTTTGTAATTACTCTCATATAAAGAAACTGTTGAAGCAAGTGTTGAAGAGAAGTTATTTTGTTTCTGTTCATTGTTTTATATATTTAAACATGACATTTTTATTGTTTTGTTCATTTTAAACAGAATAAAGTGTCCAAATGCAGAGGAAAAACTGCTGAAGTGCCTGATCTCCACACTGTTATAAAGATGGCGTTTATTAAAGAGGAGAGTGAAGATGTGAAGATTGAAGAAACATTCACAGTCAAACATGAAGATCTGCAGGAACAAACAGGTTGGTTTTCATTCTCAAACACCAACTCAGTCATATAGAGGTAAAGTTGGTTTTATATTCGCACATTCGTTCATTTAGAAGTCTCTATATTGTTTACCATGTTACTTTGAATATTCGATCTGAATTAGGATGCAAGTGTGGCTTGAAAACAACATTAACACTGTTTATTGGACTGTGAACAATGTTGTACTTTGATAGTCATTGGCTGCTAATATGATTTCACTATTTTGCGTTTGCAAATAATACTTTTATGAAATTATATTATTAAGGGGAAAGTCAGAATGTGCCAATATAAAACCAACTTTACCTCTATCTCAGTCATCTGATCCTCATTCAGATATATTTTAATAATAAGAATACTAAATTAAATCGGGCTCGAAATTAACTTTCTGACTTGGTAGCACCGGTGCTCCCAATCTGAAATGTTTAGGAGCACCAGAAAAAATTTAGGAGCACCCACCAAAAATGAATGATATATTTGACAAGTTGTATATTAAGGTATTTATTTGTATTTGAAAACAACATCAACTAGGACTAACAAAACCCAGAAACAACTATCTAACTAATGCTGAGATGACTTAATATTTGTGCAATAATTCCAAAATGAGTGTTGAATAATTATAAAATATTAATGATGACGATGATGACAATAATACTAATAATGAATTATATTTCTCTTCATCATGCTGCCTTGAATGTGCTTTAATGTAAGTTATCTGCTATATAAAGTCCTACTGTTACTTTATGAAAAATAAATTGATGGTTTGCATCAAACACAAATGAAGCATTTTAGTAAGAAATATTTTTTTGTACTATTGTTTTTATATGCGTGTCAATTGAATAAATAATATTTCTGCTACAAAACAAACAAAATAATATAATAAATCATTCAATTCAATGCCGAAAGCTGCAAATCAGTCATCAGTAATTAAATAGAAACATAACATACACCTCAATGCTCAATGCTCAGCCTCGTTACGCGCTGAATTACATTTTTCTGTGTTTGCGGAAAAACATGCGAGTCAGCCGGCCCAATACGAGGGGGGCAGAGCAGGATTCTCCCGATGACAACTGGCGCAACACTGTTCTTTGTTATAACCCGCATCAGTTTAAAAGCAGTAAAGGCAAGCTTCTTTGGCGATGGTGTTTTAGCGGACATTTGCGCTGTTGCAGCCTGATCTCATAAAGAAACGTATGAAAATGTTATGAATTGCCGTGAGATTGTGTTGGCTATGCAACGCATCTAAAGTCAGTGTACTTTTCACTCTTCAGCCGTTTGCATTCCCCGCAATCACAAAAGCTCCCTCCCTGTCATCTGACAGCGGAAAGTCTTGAGTGATTGAGAGCTAATATGAACCAATATAGTGGCAGGGAAGACCAATTTTACCACGTTTTTAGAAAAAAAAAAAAACAGGTCGCACTACAACCATTATATGCAGTCGCACGAATGCTCCCAATATATATTATGAGGTCGCATAGCTTAAATTTCGGGCGCATATGCGACCAAAATGGTTGCAATTTCGAGCCCTGTTAATAAATGAATAAACTCATTAAGGAAGTTTATTTTGCTGAAATTCGTATTGAAATCTGTTTTATTTATATTGTGCAGCGTATATCTGTAATGTCTTTATTCAGAGTATGTATTTTGAAAAGGGGAAAAACAATAACTTGTTGTATGAATGCAGTAATGTTTAAATAATTTTCCATTTAAAATGCCTGAACGTCACCTGACCATCAGGAAGAACGCAGTATCTCATTTCTCAGAGAACGCGTTCTCTGTTCTCGTGGTCTCCTGAGTTTGTTCTTCCGAGGACACCTGGCAAGTTGTTTTAAAATCCCCAATATTTTCTGCTGTACTGTCCCCATGGCTGTACTGCTGTACTGTCCCCACGGTATATATATATATATAACTATATATATATATATATATATATATATATATATATAGTTTTTTTTTTTTTTTTTTTAGTTTTCAGGACAACAGTATCTCCAGCAGAAAAAGATATCCAAAGATGCCGTTTTAAATTGTAAAGAAATCTGTGTTATTTAAAACAAATGAAGACCGCAGGAGTCAATGATTCAGTTGAATTATTTAGCCTGACATGTTTACTGCTCCAAAATCTTTCAAAGTTAATCAAAAGAAAATATATTGTGTTCAAAGGGGAAAAAGTGTTTGTTTTTTACCCAGACATTTAAAAAGAATATCTGTTAGAGCAGTTATCACAGTACTGTGAAACCGTGATATTTTTATTCAAGCTTATCATGCTGTCAGAATCTTGTACTGGCCCATGCCTAATGCTGCTTGATGTTGCAAAGCCATATTTTCAAATTTTCTTGTTTTTGTTGCTATGTATAGTCATGAACACACTTGTTTGTATAGCAAGTAGCTGTTTATTGTTCCTGGTCATTTATCCAATAGGCAACTGGTTCTAAAATAATAGCATATGAGATCAGGGCCCGTTCCAGTCAGAAGGTTAAGTGAAAACTCAGAGTATTTTTGCCCTTAATTGAGAGAAACTCTGGGTTTTCCGTTTAAAAATGGCAAGTTTGTCAAACTGGAGAAAGGAGGGTAAGTCAAGCCTGTTCTGAAAGAGAGGTAACTTTTACTCAAAGGGCCCTATCATACACCCGGCGCAGTGTGGCGCAAGGCGCAGCGCAATAGTCTTTTGGTAGTTTCAGCTTGGCAAAAGAGTCTATTTGAGGCGTTGTGCTACGCTGTTTAAATAGCAAATGCATTAGCGCTCATTTGTGCGCCCATAGGCAAATATCTTTACATATGAAAAAAATTAAATATTAAGGATATATATATATATATATGATATAAATATAAAGGATTAAAATATTACAAAACATATTATTTCCTAGCCTACATAAATATGAAAAATCACCTTCTTCATCTCGGGAGGCTTTTTCAGTTCATTCATAACAATTTGCTTTTGTATAATGTTATTATTATTAGCAGTATTATTTATTATATCCATATTTATATTTGTTTTATTAAAAACAAGCTTAGATTTGCCCACCTGTCAGGTTTTAGACCATATAGGGCAAAGCATGTGTTTTAGGATATTACTCAGGTTTTTGAGCACATTTTGCTATTATTATTCATTTATTCGTTTGCTGGAAATTAGAACTGAATTTAGGAATAGTTTTGAAACGAATATTTGCGCTTAACAAACAAAATATTTATTTAGTGACTAATTGATGTCTGTCCGTAAAGGTTTCCCTATCCAAGAGCGAATGTGAAAGTAGTTCCATTATCTCTCATTCTCACGCAGTAGATGCTCTGTTTAACAGTTTTCTGTTAAAAAACTGTTAACTGTTTGCTTGTGAAATGCTCATTTTTTCCACTTAGACTTACTTTGCGTCCTGTAAATAGTGAATGCGCTCTTGGCAGCTGACTCTTAAAGGTAATGGGAGATGAGACTCTAATTAGTTTATTCTCAAAACACACCTATAACTCATTAAGAAAATAAACTCAACACTTTTAGACCATGCGCCGTGGCGTAAGGCCAATTTCCCGTTCTTAAATGAGCAAAAACGCTTCCTGACACGCCCTGCTCTGCGCATGGACCGTCAAAATAGAGCCCAAAGTCTGTTACCGTGGTCACTTATCCTGTGAACCTAACTTGGTCAGGTTTTTTTTCTCTAAACTCTGAGTTTCTGTCGGGTTCTTCGCCTTTTTTAAAGATGAAGCAGTATTTCTCGCTTAGCCTTACGTTTCCAGCCACCTATTTTTAAGTTTATTTTGCATTGGCTATGAGCATAAAAAATCGTTTGATAGAAACATCATGATGCTCATAACTTTTGCAATATAGGCATAAAAAACATGAGCATAACTGAGTTGAATAAACTTTATTCAATAAAAAAAGATAAACTTGCGTTAACTATGCAAGCACTTTTACTGAACAAATTCCAAAATGTGCATTAAAAATATTTGTTATAAGAGACAAACCAGCAGGCTGAGAATTCTATAAACATCTCAAATGTTGCTTTGGTCATTCTAAAATGCTTTAACCGTTTTTGTTTTAAAGTTATTATATTATTAATGATCTCCAGTGTGGGGTTATTGCTGTGTATCCATAGGTTGGCATTGGCTTTACAACACCCCTAGAGGGAGCTATAAGCACACAAAAGGTCCAGCCAGATGTATGTATGTAATGTTGTTTGGAAATTGCCAGTAAAGAGCACATTAACACAGTTCGAATCCAGAGTTTTTATTTAAAATACACGGCATGGTGTCAGAAGTTCTGTAGTTTAATGTGACTGATGCTTAAGTTAGCTTGTAAAAGCCCAGATTTGGTGGGAAGAAAGCTCGAGTTGAAATGGATGGCGGAGAAAATGCAGTTGCTGCGCCTAGAACAGCGTGACCGAGTGCTACGTTCAGCAAATGGCTGCCCGAGCCTTTTGACTTTTCTAACGACATGCAATCTAAAGTCATGCTCCTCCTCCCCCCCCCCCCCCCCCCACAGCATGACTTTAGATTGCATGTCGTTTTGGGGAAAATGCAAAAGGCTGGCATCACTCTCAACGTTGAGAAGTGTGAGCTGTCAAAGTGCAAAGTGCATTTCTTAGGACACATAATTTCAGCCAAAGGAATTAGTCCTGACCCAATAAAGACGATAGCTATTAGAAACATGACCGAGCCCTCTAATGTGAGCGAATTAAGGAGCTTTCTGGGAATGGTAAATCAGCTAGGAAGGTTCATTCCCCAACTGGCTGAAAAAGACAAAGCTCTTTGCGATCTGCTGTTGAAAAAGAACTGTTGGTTTTGGGGCACAGAGCAGGCTAAACTGCTTTAAACTCTGAAAGATTCATTGTAGTCTGCACTTGTATTAGCGATTCATGACAAACAGAGACTGCAAAGTGTCAGCTGATGCTTCGTCCTATGGACTGGGGGCTGTCCTAATGCAGAGATGGCAAGAAGGATGGAAGCCTATAGCTTATGCATCCTGATCTGTCACCCAGACCGAGCAGAGGTATGCACAAGTGGAAAAAGA